TGGAATATTGAGTTTGGGGCCTGCCACTGGCATTTCCATTCTTCAAACACTAAAATTTTAGCAAGTTCTAATTTCTTGCTTGTTTTAGTTTCTGTATTGGCCTGCTAATAATTTGATTGAATATGAACTGTGATGACCAGTAATATGCAATCTTTAGTAAAACAGAATTCCAAATTAGAGTACGTGACGTAAGGGTTGCAAATTAAGCACTTCTAGTAATATTTTGGGGGGATTATGTTTATTAATGATGCTGAATTTAATGAATGAAGAACAGGAAAATGCTGCCAGAACATCTTTTCTGGCAGTCCTTTACCTTTGTGATTCTGTTAGTTTTTCATTTTTTCTCCTCCATTTTTTGCATGATTATCTTTTGTTGAGGTTCTCCTATGTTACTTTTGAAAAGAAAACATCTAACTCAGCAATAATTGTCATTGCTATTTAATGTTCCTAAGCATTTTAGTGCTGATTATGGAGCTTAATAAGACTTAAAAAAAAAAAATACCGTTTACAATTTATAAAGCTAATCTTTTCTTCCAGCTTGGTTGTCAGTATATCACTGAAGTGATAGAATTTTCTTTTTACCTTGGCGCTACATTGAAGAAGAATCTGACAGAAGTCAGAGTACTCTGTGGCTGCATTTGAACCTCGGAACATGATTATATTTTTTATCTCTTTTTAAAGGCAGATCGCTTAGTGCTCTACTTTGTACTTGAGTCTTGAGGTTACTGGAACTTTTATGTCTACATTGGCTCATAAGCCAATAAGAGCAAGTGTGGCAAAGATCGATGAGTGAAGACAGAAGATGGTTATAACAGACTGGTGTGATGTTGTCCATCTGAGAAATGACCTGATGGTCTAGCTCAAATGAGCACTGTCACTTGGAATTGAGTATAATTTTGCTTCTGAGTGCTAAGTCTGATGGGACTTGTCAAAAAGCATCAAATCCCAAGTGAATGTGTATATTGCTTTGAAATGATCTTTTATATAGTGTTTCTGTAGCTGGAACATTCTCTGTGTTAGTGCTACCTTGGTTCAATTCCCGTGCCATCTTGAGAAATACTAAACCTTTTTCTGCCACTTTTCAGAATAATTGCTTAGTGATAAGCTTAATATGATCTTTCTGCTGTAACTACTAGTATTACTGCATCCACCTTCCCTTTTATAAAACAGTACTGGTAGCAAGTTAGGTGCAAAAATGGTATCTGAATAGAAGTTAATGTCTTCATACACCCTCAGCACATGCATTTCTTTTTCCTTTGCTTGAGGAAGCTTTCCATTCCAGTGTGCAACTCATTTGATTTTGTATCTAAAAATCTAAATCAAGTTCTCTAACCAGACAGCAATCAACTTCTCTGGTAACGTCAAACTATGGTCTGAGGTATGCTTTCAGTTGAGCAGCGTGAGTTGGAACTGCTGTCAGTAAGAGAGATTTTGTGAAGGAAGAAAATGTTTGATGGTTTTAACTATTATAGTAATTGATTTGTTGTGGACAAATATTTGATAATATTAGAGCATGGGAATTTAAACATCCCCACACTGGCATATTTTACTGTGAATATCTGTACTATTCTATATCACATACATGGGTTTTTCTGAAAGAAACAATTGCCTTCTTACATAATTAAACACAATTTGAGGCATTTATATGCATGTGTCGAGCCTTCTAGCCTTGGGCCTTTAAGTCATTGTACAGAATTCATATTGTGGGATCTGCAGATGAACCAGTACATTGAATAACAGTGCACAGTATCCTTCTTTTGTTTTTTCAAATGATAATAATTTAAGATATTCATTAATGAGCTTTTTTTTGCATTCAATTACAGTAAATAGTGGTATTTGCTGTGGTTCAGGAAATCGCAGATCTGAAGGAATATATGTCTTTTGTTGTTCATTTATAATTATACATAATTCATTTATGTATAAATTTCATTTGTAATTTAAGAGTGAATTTAATGTCTCATTCAAGAAAAATACTTGCTGAAGTTAGAGGGACTTCATACGTCAGTGCTTTTATGAATATATTGAGAGAGACATCAGCATATGCTCTAATGTTGTCTTTACTGGCACTTTAAAAGGTTTTATAAAAGGGCAACATTATTATAGGCATTACTGAATGCTCAGACTACTGTTATTGTTATGTAGAGACTTTATTCAGAAGTATCACACACCACTATAAAATCTACCTCTTAAAAATATCACTTTGTCAGTGGAATATGCATTTTCAGATCTGCATAGATATACTTGTGCGGATAAATATATTTTCATTAACATAGATTTTCCAAGCCTGAACAAGCACTACTTTTCCATTCATGCAGGACTCATTTTAACGAAATAGCTCTGTAAAATTTTTAGCTACAGTACTGTCAGGCAATGATGGAGAGAGAAGAAATTAAGAATATGCCAATATCTCTCATTGTCGGGATTCCGCTCACGTTTGTAAAATCTGGAAGCCCATTCTGTATTGTATCTTCCAGTCAAACTGTTTAACTCCCTGTTTTCAGCATTTTTTTTTTTTTTTTTTTTTTCAAAGACACTCTCCATAACAACTAGCCACATTTATTTTGGCTGCTACCCTTTTGTAAAAGTTATCAATTTTTCCATTTCACATTAGCTGTTCCAGTATATTACTAAAAACATTCCTCAGCAATTCTCGGCTAGAATAGATTTCCTCTCATATCTCATTCTCTTTATGCATGGAGGAAAGACACTAAGGGAAAGTGCATGTTGAATGAGGACATCAAGTAAACCAGTCCTGTAAGGCACACTTGATTTAATACAGTTCAACAATTGTTCATTGTTTATATAAAAGAAAGGCAAAAATCTAAAGTTGCAGTAAAGATTTCAAATGAAAGCTTCAAAAAGACAGTTAATTCAATTAAAAATCAAAGTTTCTTCAATTAACTTTATTTCCAAGAATGGATTTGATAATCACTGAAAAGTAAGTGGCATGGGATTGGTAGCTTATTTATTCTCTTTGTAGTAATCATTAACTAGTAGTTTTCTTTTTCAATATTTTATCTCTCTTTATTCTACATGACAAGTCCAATCACTTTCTGGATTACGTGTTTTATGTACTCTGGTATATGCTTTATTTAAATAGGCATTTCTGATTTCATCTAGGTTTTGTACCAGCTTCTTCATCACAATTTTTCATTCTATAAGTTTGAGAGAGAAAGAGAGAAAGCTTGGAGTATAAAGGTCATATCAGACTACTTAGGACAACTTCTAGCATTTCTACAGCAATGTTATCAAATGTAATCATATGGACTTGTGGCTTGTTTAAATTTTGGAAGAAAAAAATGTTCTGGGACAGAGTTTACTTCTTAGTTATTTTCACAGATGGTATCCATTTAGGTATCTTCAAAAGGTGACTCTGTAAGTTAGAGTTGCTGATTCTTTAACTTCTCCATTTCTTCCCTGTTCTTGAGTACAAACATTTTTTAAAAAGGTAAAGGATAGCTTTATTTTTCCTGCACTCTGTCTATCCAAATCTGTGATTTCAGTATAGAAAACATGCCTCCTGTCTGCTTTGGCTATGACTGTTCTGAATCTTGTGACCGGTACAGAAGAGAGATGTTTTTTCTTTGAAGGCTGAGGTTACAAGATGATCTCTTATGGAATTCAGGACTTCAGAGTCTTGACCTGACTGACTATTCCATTGACAGTGTCATTGTCTTCCCATGCAATAAGTGTTATTTCTGAATTCTGAGGTCTAAAACATCAGAAATTGGAAGTACTCACTGAAGATCTCTGTGCAACAGCAGAAGTTTTGGGATGTGATTTAAGTTGATGAAATTTGTTGTGATACATGTTTGGTTATTGGCACACATACATACTACATTGCAAAGTATGCCTTGACAAGCAGTGTGCTACTTTAGATAATAAACAGACTAAAATTTAAGAGTGGATTTCAGATACTGATTCAAATAATGTGTCATCACATTGTTACTCCTCTGTAGGATCAGTGTGGAATAGGAAATACTGTGCCTAGGTGAGAAGTTGACAATTTTTCTTGACAGATTGCTTTGAATTAGCTTGATGTAGTGCAGTGATTTTCACATGAAAGTATCCCTGAAAATAGCAATATATATTTATGCAGTTAAATGTTCAGGATAGGCTTTTCATTGGCATGGATTAAATAATTGCATCAATTAATTTACAAGGTGCTTTGACACAGCAGCGTTGCAGAAGGGTTATTTGTGACTTATCTGGACACAGTGAGATCACAGCGGAAGAGAACAAATATATGCCAGATTAAAAAGGCAACTTAATTTAACCGTTATAAAATTAACAAGTTATAGAGGCAGAACAACTGGTAATGTTCATTCTGATACTCAGAGTTATATCATCTCATGGCTCTCATGAAATAAAATGATTCCAATGTAAATTATCACCTGTTAAGAATAGCATTTTGATTAGATGCTTGTGTGTCTCCTTTTTACCAGTCTGGGAAGGTGCCTGGACTTCTCTTTCTCTGCTGTGTAGCTTGGGGCGTATCAGCCACACCACAGAAAAACTAAAGACATGAACAGGAGCTACAGAAGCAGTTATGGGAGAGAGAAAATATGGCTAAGAGCATTCACACATGGATAGGTGATTCACTTGTCTCCCTACCTCCTTCCTACCAGGACTATGGCAGAGCTGTGGAAACTACAGCTTTTGTTTTGGTTGGAGATTTATGAGACAACCTCAGAAAAACTAAACCGAACAAAGAAGAATTTATACATGTGGATTACTGTTCATGCCAGGTCTGGAAGGGGAAAGTGTGGAGCTGAAAAACATCAAAGAGCAAGCTATAGAACCAACCAGTGCTGTTTCCACACCAGCATTACCTGTTAGTGTGACTAGGAGCAGAGCACATAGAAAGCTTTACTTCTTGCTTTCTTTTTGAAAGATATCATTGCAATAAATTGCAGGTATAAGGAAGCTGCATGGCACTGCTTATACTTCTGCTACATTTTGGTCATACATATATTTTCCTGTTTGTTTTTCTGTTCCAGGTTCAGGTCCTTCGCAATGCAGGGGAAGAAGTGACCCTAACTGTGTCCTTTTTGAAAAGAGCACCTGCTTTTCTCAAACTGCCACTGAATGAAGACTGTGCATGTAAGCCTTTATTACTTGACCAAAATAAACCTTAATTCAATGTTTGTGAATACTTGCAGCTTCTGAACCTCGTGTGCATGGGGGGCGGTTAACAACAGCTTTCTCAGTCAGTATTGTGGCCCAAATATGAGCTTTTCGTATTGCCAGATCTCATATTGGCAGTCATCTTAAATGAAAGACTGCAGTTGTTGCTTGAAAAACATATCATTTTGGTTTTGGCTGGTGTGAATCAGCAAAGTTGAGTCAGGGGAATTACATTAGGTTACAGTAGCTCACATTTTGATGTATTTAAAAGCATTTTTCCATGGAGCTCCAGATAACAGTTTAGTCCAGGAGTTTTGTGCTCTAGATGTGACAGTGAGATCATGTGGATATATTCTGAGGGCTTAACTTTCTCATTTAAAATTCAGGAGTTTTCATGTAGGTGTCTATGTACCTAAAAATAAATTCATCTAAAATGTTTAATATTTTAAGTCCAACTGAGTTTTAGTAAGCTAGCCCCATCAAAAGCAAATGGAGACAGCTGGCTTCCTTTAATTGTCTGAAATTGTGAGTGTGGGCGCATAATTATAGAGTTGCAGCATACCCAAGCATATGTATAATCATCCTGTGCCTTTTGGCATCACTACTTTCTGCTTCTTTCTCCTAAAGGGAGCAACAAAACAAAAAAGTGTTTGATTTCAATACTTCTAGGCCTTGATGTTACATCAGCAATTAAATAAACTAAGTTTTGATATATCTTATATAATATCTGTTGTGGAAGTACCATCTTTATCTTGTATACAGGTATTGAACTTTAATGAGGCAAAAACAAACAAACAAACAAACAAAAAAAACCCACCAGAAATCTTCTTAAATAAAAAGAATCCCAGTAACTCATTGCTGCTTTTATGAAAGGATGTGGTGCCATAGAGAATGCTGAGTAAAGCACAGTAGCATGCACTTGAATAGATCCTATCATATATGATTTATGAGATGTAGCTCTGTATCCTTCTAAGTTGATACAAGAACTGTTAAACCTGTGAACTTCATAGAGAATGACAAAAGCATTGTCTGACTGTTTCCTTTAAGTGAGAACCAATTAAGGAAGTGCATACTTTCCATTTATTATCAAATTTGCAAAAACATTTGTGATTTTTTTCTTACTGAGCAGATTATTAGCTTTTTTGTAAATCACTAAGGGAGAGTTGAACCTTGACTTTTAGATGACAAAATCAGTTGGAGAGGGAAACATGCAAGCACACTAACACAGAAACTTTTATGATAGCATTATAGATTAATGATACATTTTCTGTATATCCGTGTTGGTGTTAGGTGCCCCCAGTGACCAAAGCAGTGGCACTTCCTCTCCCCTGTGTGACAGTGGTTTGCATCTCAACTATCATCCTAACAACACGGTAAGAGCTTATATTTCTTTCATGAAATTACATCAGAAAAAAAAATTGCTAAGTGAAAGTAATTAATAGAAAAACAGCATCATGGGAGGAATTCAAATTAGCATTGGAGATGGTTCCATAGGGTGCTAAAATTTCTCAGCCAGATATTATAGCTAAGAATAACACTGTGAGAAAGTGTAGCAGCTGAGATTATGCTCTGATAAATGTGATTACTATTTTTATCTGGACAATGGAAATTTTGAGAAAGTTTTGTCTTCTACATTTATTTGTAGAGCAGAGGGAATAAAATTATTAAAGTGACAATATAGCTTTTTAAACAGGAGATAGAAAGCCTATTCAGGATATTGTTACATATATTTTCTTTAATTTATTATTTAGAACTTTTGTCAAAGGCTTATTCAGGTGCATGTTTTTGCCTATTTTTAAGGTGCTAACATTTTTCTCCTATTAACTAGCACTAACAATTGTATTGAAGAACAATAGCATTACACAGCAAAGTGCCTTTAACGTGAAGTGCTACAGATCTTTGCTCTAATTTGTTGTAAAAAATTCCTTTGAAATGCAACATGGTGCTTTTCTTAGTCATGAAATGCAGCATTTATGATATTTTGTATAGTTCTAAAGATTTTTTTTTATGTGTATTTGGCTTTAATCAATAGAATAGAATAGAAATCACAGAATAAATAAATCTGTATATGACATAACTATTACAACTATATAAAAATGAACAGAAGTGTAAGCACTATTCAGTAGACTTCCTGTCTCTAATTTCTGGCTTCCTTTATTGTTCTTTCTTATTTCACTAATAAAAAGTTTCAAATGGGAGCCCAGAAACTTAGAAGTCAATAGCACAGATTTAAGCCTTAATAGGGTCTAGGAAACTAAAAGATTAAACTACTTAGGTTATACATGTTTATAGGAGAAGGAATTTATCAAAAAGAGTTGAAAGTAATAATATTGAGTCTTGCTGTAGGTCAAATAAACCAATAAATATATATCTTCTAATAGTGGAATAACATCAGAAACGAACACCTGAGCTATCAGTATACGTATATGAAAACATAATTGGAGGAGATTCTAAAGTTATTTTGCTAGCCACTTCGAGTCTAGTTTTGCTTTGAGGGTAAAAGTCATGCTTCCATTCAGAAGTCCTATTGCTGCTGAAGGTGTTGAAATTATGTAAGTTACTTACAGTTTCTGTTTGAACTGATAATAATTTAATGAAAACAAGTATTTTGTTTTTTAGTTTTTGTTTTGTTTTGTTTTGTTTTTTTCATTCAGTCTTCTTGCTTGGGATATCTCCTTGTAATGGAATGGAATGGAATGCTTCATAAAGTCAGATGAGAACTCTATATGAATTCTTAACATATGTACAAAACTTTCCTTGTCATTCCATATTGTCAAATTATTTTCTAGAATGTTTTGGTGTCTTATGGCCATAGGGTATTTCTCAGTTACAGCCTTGATGATCCACATGACAGATTTCTTGCTCAAAGGGATTTGGAGTAGACAGGACTGGTTTGGGTCTTCTTAATTTAACAATAGAAAGTGCTATGCAAAGCGAGGTTACCACTTCTCTTGCTCTTGAACATAGATCTACTGTCTGCATCTAAATTTCTTGCGACGTTTCAACTTTTTCCTAAAGTTTCATCACAGCTGGAAAAAGTTCCTGAAAATAGACAGAACTTGAAAACTTCAAGGCGTTGTTCAAAACAGTATCCTAACTTAGTATTTCTACTCAGTCATTTATGTGGATTTATTTTGTCTGAATCTACGGAATGTTTCACCAGAGCATCAGTGTTTTACATTCATGAATATACTTTTGAAAATCCTGCTGTTCAGATAAATCAATGTTCATTGTGATCTTTCATGTTACACACATTATAGATATGTGAGAATTCATTTAAAAACTTGCTTTCTTTCCAAATTTTCTGAATATTTATAATGAAGCCCAAAATTGAGAAGGACCTTCTAATTTTTTTCAGGATACATTATCATGTTCCTCGTGGCCAACATCCCCAGGACTTAGATGGGAAAAAAGGTGGTGTGATCTCCGATTAATTCCACTTCTTCATTCACGATTTTCCCAGTACCTTCCAGGATCAGATTTGTGCAGGTAAATAAGTTCAGAAAGCTGAAACTATTGACTTCTTGATTTAGACATGCAATCCTCATGGATTTGCAATATTAAGAGGAGTGTCATTATTAATTCCAGTGCAGCTCTGAGAGATAGGGACAGAAGATGTGGGGTGCTCACAGTCAGGCTTAAATTTATTGCATCATCTGGTGACCTGACTAGTCATCAAGCATTAATAGCTTGATCTTTTTCTGTTCCTACATTCAAGAACACATGAAGTTACTTAATTAGTACGTAAAATCTTCATTAATATTTCTGTTATAAGTGTTTTGCAGAAGGTTTTAATTATCATTTCTTTGTTGTTATGCTCACACTTTTGCCTGAAAAGGGGTCTTGCAGTCAAATGTTACCACTTCCCTCCAGATGCGGGTTTAGGATCCCAATGGAAACTGAAAGATCATAAGTCAATTTTAGGTTTCTTTGGGGTCAATTTTGTTGTTTCTCATCACAACCTTCTTCTTATCAGTTCTTACCAAATGTTTGAAAGTTACATAAAAGCCTCCCACAGCCTCATTTAATTCAAAGGGCTATTGTTTCTTTAAAGTATACCATGTAGGTTTGCAGTCTTGTTTCCTACTCACAGAGCTGATATTAAAGCAGCTTAGTCAATAGTCACTGGATGATTGTTAAACTAAAAACAGCTTATGGTCTCTGAATAGTGATGGCAAAATCATGCTTACTTGTCTACATGATTGTTGATCTCTTGACAATTACTGGCCCAGAGAGTTAACTTGTGATGCAAAAGCTACATTGATTCATTGGCTGAGTTGAAATACAGCAGGATATGGATATACCAGAGATGTAAGATTTCTTGTACATGTATTTTCCTGTGCTATCTAACATGAAGAAAATTCCTTAAAAGTTAAGGGGGAAAAAAAAAAAAAATCATGTTTGATAGAGAGAAGCAGATGTTGGGTTTTTTTACTCAGAAAGCACAGAATAAATATTTTGTTGTTAACATGCTAGTTTATGAGTGTTTTAAAATAGTTTGTAAATCCATGTATTTTAAAATATGACTCCCTCCAAAAAGGTTGTTTTCAAAGAAAGGTAGAAAATTTTTTAAAGGGACTGAAAATGAGAAGAATATAAAGAACAATGTTAAGAAAAGGATATTGCTAATAATAATAAAGAAAACAACATAAAATGTTACATGCTATATAAAGTATATCATTTTGAGAACCTGAGATGTATAATTGAATAAGAATCTGATCTTAATTTTTTTGTTGTTGTATTAAAATATGATCAATAACATTTTTTATTTAATACAAAATTTTTTGTGTTGTGTTATGGTCTTTGACTAGTAAATTAATTTAAGTTATTACTGCAATAATCTAAAAGTAGGTTATTCTACTGCCCAGGCACAGTCAGAAAAAAAAATAAATAAAAAAATCAGTAGTTCACCATACATCTCATAGTTTACAGCTATTGACATTTGGGCAGGAGCATCCTGAAAAAATAATTCTGTGCATATGCAGATCAAATGCTTAGGAACTGTCTACTATGTCCCAAATGCATCAGACTGTACAGGTCAATATCATGTGTTATTAGATTTCGTGGTCTATGATAGGCAGAGTAGAAAGAATGGGAATCCTGAAAATATATCTATTGTTAATCAGCAAACTTGTCAGAGCATCATGCTGTAGTCTTTATGTAATAACTTATTTACCATGTTATTATGGATGAATTTATGATTTCTATTTATAATCGTTTAAAATAAAAGGCATATTAAATAAATACTGTTTTAACATTTAAGTACATTACCTGAAGATGCCTTGAATAAATCTCCAAAAACTTTGAAGTACTCTAAAGATAAGAAGTTAGTTTTTTAGAAACATATATTTTAGATTGTGCCTTTAGGGGTTTAAAGGCAGATGACCGCCTCTGTGAAAAGATAATTGAACTGATGAGTTAGCTGATAGATGTAGGTAAACCATTGGTGTCTTCATGATCATGTTAGGATACATAAGCTTTATCTTCCAGTCAGAACTTATTCTCATGATGGAATTGCTCAAGGAAAAGGCATGGCTTTAATTTATTTTTATACATGTCCTAAATGAAAGAAAAGCATGTACTTGACACAGACACAGAAGAACCTTTATGGTTGAGGTTGATGTTAGCTCTGTATTCTATAAAATTAGTTGATAGCTTTGTGAAGTAAAAAACTAATAATTTTGCAGAATCAATATCAGTCTTAAGATGTCATAAACTGTAATTAGTGACACTCAGTTTTACACTGAAGATAACACTTGTTTTGCCTCAGCCTTCTAAAAAATCTGAACAATTTTAAGCCATGAATGGATGAATTTGTAGGGGAATGCTAGCAGTGGAACTTTATGTTCTCTGTATGCTTAGTAATATCCTATTCTGTGAAACTGATTGATAATGAGCTTTTGAGGTTCTGTAGCTAGAGACCTGTCAACCTTCCCAAAGGCCAAAAAGGCCTTTTACAGAAGTCATATCTCCTATAGCTTTATAATGTGAAAGTTTCCTCTTGTTCTGTAGTTGTTCAGCACTCAGTTGTGGAAAGTCAAACTATAACGCATCGTAGAACATTGTGTAAGTTCCAAGAATATTGCTGAGGTAGAGACACCCCAGTGGCTACTGCCTTTGTCAATGGATGTCTCTTGGCATTCCAGTGTGATTTCCTAATGATTCTGCATTCAGAAATGGAATTGAAAAAATCATTAATGCTATCTTGTCAAATTTGAATTCACCAGCTATTCCATTGGCAGGTAAAAAGAGGATCATTGACAATGAAAATTCTATCACCAAAAACAGCTAACTAGCTAGCAGTAATCTGAATGTGTTTTGAAAATGAATTTGGAGAATGAAGCAAAATTTTTTGAGAAAAAGGTACGGTATTCCACTGAATTTCATGAAAGGCTACCTACAGTCTGCTACACTTTTTTTTCTCTGTGATCTTCATATTCAATTATTAATGCTTTGATATGCATCAACTATTCCACTTGTTTAGCTTCTGAAATCGCACAGTGTTGGACAAGATTCCATAGAGCTAGTCAATAGGATTTTCTTACAGCTTCTTGGAAACTTAATATAGGAATAGTTGACCTTTTTATATGACATTTAATATGTAGCTGATTATTTTAATGTGTCAGGTATTTATAAACAGGAAAACCAGCAATTTATCAGTGTTCACTGGCTGACCTTCATTGCAGTTGAAAGAAAAGCATTTCTACAAGTATTGTTAAGACGGTATGCTAGAACAGATGAAATTTTCTTCTGACCTGATCTGTTATGACATGTCTATAGGCAAAATGCGTTCCAAGTAATTGCTGTGGATGGGGTTTGCAGTGGAATAATTCAGTGTCTCTCTGCTGAAGACTGTATTGACTGGCTACAAGCAATAGCAAGTAACATTTCCAACCTCACAAAGCACAATGTAAGTATGGATCCAAGCAAGCCAGAAGGTTTCCCAATCATATTTGATTATAACTGTCATAAAAGCCTAATGGGTTCAAGCACAGAATTATCTGCATATAAACAATGCTCGAGGCTGTCTGAGAGAAGTCAACTCAAGTTTATCATCAAATCAGACTTTGTGAGAAATCACTGAATGGGAAAATATTCCCCCCTACAGTCATCTAGTTCACTTCATCGCTATCAGCATTGCATATTTAGCAATACCAGCTACCATGAAAAACAAAGACTAGACACAAGAGAAAGCCAGGTGTGATGGATAAGAACATATAAAAGCAAAAGGAAATTCTATATATTCTTGATGGTTTGAAAAGGTATATCTACATTGAAATTGTTATAATTGAATCTGAATTAGATATTAGGTCTGTTTAGGTATCATTTAATGCAAGAAAATACAAGTCCTCACTATGAAGAAAGATTAAATGCATTTATGCTTTATGCACTGTACTTTTATGGTTTGATCTTGTGGGATAGATAACTTTTTATTGAAACAAGAATAACTGTTACACATAGGTTTTGCTAAAGTACTCCTAAGTTCAGTTGAAAGCTCTTAAGGTTTTGGGTTTTTTTTTTGGATCTATGGAGGATATATCTTGCATTTGATAAATAAAATGTAGTTTTCAGCTTAGAATTCTATATGATTCCTTTTCAGTCTTCAAAAATACAGAACACATGGGTAACTCCATTATTTTGAAATAAGTTAGAACAAGGAAGCCCTTGAGGATTTAATTTATATTCTTTCAGATTTCCTTAAATCTGTTTCAGCCTCCCAAATCTAACTAAATTTGCTTTTCTTTCAAATACAGGGAACATATTGAAGGAAGTTGTATTTCTTGCAGATTTATATTCAAGATGCAAAACTATGCTCCATCTGGCAGCAATATGTAAAAGTCATTGTATTATAAAAACGTGACAGACATGAATTCATCCACCATCTGCAAGCTTCCATGCAATGCAAGCCAACTTTATGGCTATTTATTCCTCCTTACATTGCTATTGCTGTGTAGAACTTCTTGTCTACGAGGCATCCTGACAAATGAGTGTTCTGGTTAATTTTTTTCTTGCCATCGTTAGTTCAGACTGTTGATTATTCTTGCAATCTAAAGCGGTATATTTGTTTACTTACAACAGTAGATAGAAGACTTTAAAATTTATCTGATAATACATTATGTATCTCTTATCAGACTATACCCGTGGCTGCTTGGTGTAACTTGGATTTTTATAATGCATTATTGTTACATAAAATACTTTCAGTGTTTTAAAAAGGAGTACACTATGTCATTCTACACTATTTTCCATAAAGAAACACAAACACTGTAACTGATGTTACAGTGATATATATAATAGCTAATTATATAACTATTCTGCAAACATCTGTTTACCTTATCCCACAGACATCCTGTAAAGAAATTGTGGCTTAGTTTGGGCTTATGACTATAGTAAATGATGTATTTTACAACTGTCCCAATTATTTATTGCCCATGTGAGTTTATGAAACCAATGAGACTCTTTTTTTCATGATATACTTTTCTTAAAAATGTCAGTTGCCAGTAAAAATTAATTGTTTGACAGCATGTATGATAAATGAATTTAAGGAATATTAGACAGTCAGAGGAAAAAAGAAAAAAAAGCAAACTCTTATTCAGAGCAATGATTAAATATGAGTAGAGGTCTTTTTTTTTTTTTTTTTAAAGAGTGATTATTGAGCTACACATACTGCTGATGCTAGCATTCTTCCTCTGTGAGAATCATTTACTCACAGTCATTCTCCCTTCCCATTGGCATGCTGTACCAAAGAAATAATGTGAGTACAGGACTTTATTTAATTTTCAGACAAATTAAATTACATCAACTATTTTTCTTTTTAGTTTCAGTTAATGTTTTATTTTTATCTAGGAGTTATGTAAAGTAATTTTTCACTTAAATACTGTATAATCATTGAAATGTAAACATACATGCTTTTTCTAATGTATGAAACAGAAAGATAAAAACTAGTAAGATTATAAAAACTATGTTGTTTCTGAAAGCATGTCCTTTACTAGTGTGTCAGGTTTGGACTCAGTAGGTTTGGGTGGGATTTATCTTGCCCAGTGTTAAATGTCTTAAAGCACAATGTCTGAATAGTTATCCCTCTGCTTTACTTCTGACATCTGTTTTCTGATTAGATGAATCCCCTCAGGACATGTCTTTCTTTCCTTTGACTGGTTATGGACCCTGAGGTGGTGAGTTCAAACTCAGATATCTAAGGAGATGTGTAAATTCTGTCACAGGTCTCTTCATGGGGCAAAAGAGAGCTTCTCTGAAGAAATCTAGTGAAGAAATGCCTGGATATTTTGACAGAAAACATTCTAGTTTCAACTAGTATTCTGAACTATTTTACTCTTTTACACACAAACTGTCTGAAAAGAAAGTGTCTGATGGTTCAAACCCCACAGATGAGTATAGTAAAAAGCCAGCTTTCTTTCCCTGTATTTCCTTGCAGTTGTGAAATATAAATCCCAGATTCCAAAATCTTCTATTTGAGTCTATGGTTAAGTTACATTTTTGTGCTGACAGTGTCAGAATTTCTTCTATTGCAATGTAAAATGTTCACATCTGACACAACAGTGGTGTAATTCAGTTGAAGAATCAGCAGTGTAGCCAGAGAGCAACAGGATAACAATAAGGCATGAGTAAAAGAAAAACCAAAATGTCTTGATGATCATCACCTCTGAAAGACAGTTTTGCTAATTGAGTCTAAGTAATGGAGTCTGGAACATTTTGTCCATGGGCCAACACATATTACCTGCAGTAATTTGAAGACTGTCCATCCTTGTACAGTGTGAGATAAAGCTTGTATTACTACATAGCAATATAGTTGCAGTTTTAATGCAAAGATTTAGAAATTTATATTATGGCTATTCAAGCAGAGATTACGTAAAAATATTGGTATGCTGATTGATGTAGTTGACTTCATTAGTTCTCAATTTTTTGTCAAAAGACAGACTTCAAGCATGCAGTATTTTTCCTTCTATTTGGTAAATTAGGAGCATTGTCCTCCAGTGTTTCTGAAATACTGAGAATGATACTGACAACTTGCATTTCTTTAGTTCCCCAGGAACAACAGAAGAATTACAAATGAGATGAAATGCATCCCGTTAAGATTAAAAAACACAAATTGACTTGTACATGAGTATGCAGCTCACAGGATATTATAGAAATGCACTGCTTAAAGTGACATACTATCATAGTATAATTGCTGATGTGATGAATCCATAAAGGTCATTCATTTTGGAAGTAGAATTCTTCTCCAGTGTGAGCCATTTAAGCTGCTTGTCTGCTAAAAAACATCAGTTTTAGAACTAGCCTTGAAAAATTCAGGGGTTATATTAAGCTCAGAGTTTTGTTGAAGCAGTTGTCGAACTAAAGTTTGTGTGCTGAAACCTGAATAGGTTAAGTTGAACCCACACTTGGGACTCTAATTCCCTGTGAATTCATGACGTTCTTGTTGCTAGTATGGATGACAGGCCAAAGAAGATTTGAAAGGGAAAAGCTACCACTTTTACCTTTTTTTTTTCTGTGCTTTTCTGTTCTGCTGTGCCAATTCAGCTGTGAACTATTAGCCCTTCAATAAGCTACTTTTAGTCTGTATTAATTTCTTTGATAATTAATACCAATTTCTCATCTTTATCACAGTATCCAATGAGTCACATAACTTTTAAAGAACTATGCTCTTAGAACAGTCTAAGAAAAGACTCTAAAATCACATGCCATATAAAGATCCACTTGATGCCGATGCATCTGTAGTTTATGTGGTACAGTTTTCAAGGGTCTCAGGGACAGTATTTGTAATGACTTTAGCAGAGATGAGGTTTTAACTAAGTCGTTTTTCATACCTAGTTCAATTCAAAATTACTGGGTACCCCAATGTATTTTCCAAGTGCTGCCAATAAATAAATAAATAAAATAATAAGAAGAAAACATGAACAGAAGCTTTGGGTTTTGATAACAAAAGAATAATATATACATTTTTTTTCAGTTATCATCTTGTAGGATACAGCTTAACTGATTCTTTGGGAATTTATCCTCCCAACTCGCTATATGTCACTCTTGTCTATTGCTTTCAAATTTTATATAGTGAGTGCCATGATATTTCTTTACCCTTTCCTTTGCCATCATTTCCTTGGAAGACACTGCACTGATTGCAGATTTACATTTCTTACCTTGACTTTTAAACTTGACAGACAGGAAACAACAAGAACTTCAACAGACAGAAATGACAGGTAACTGAGTAAAGGTTGCCAAGCAGTAAGTGACAAAAAGAGTTTTAAATTTATCTTGGGAATGCCCATAAGATCTTGCAAGAATTATTACCCAATAACTTGACATCATTCCGTTACTTTCTATGTAAACCTTGCAAAATACCACGTGTCTGTGAAATTAATAAGGCACACATACGCTACAGATAGAAATATGGTGATAACACAAAAACAGTAGAATTAATAGGTCTACAAAATTAGTATCTGATTCTGGGCACACCATGCTTTCCTGAACATAAGACTCTATTTTGAACAGTTTCAAAAGTTTAGTTGAAATATTCAATCATATGCTTAAAACATAATGCCTAATAAAAAGAAACTGCTGCTAAGATCACAAACTAATTTGTCCTAACCTTCACCAGAGACAAGAGAACAGTAATAACTTATTAAATACCTATATAATTCTGAAGTTTGGATGTAAGGATTGTGTAGGTTATTAGACAAAGGGTGAGAAACACAAAGCAGGAGAAAAAAGGCAATTAGGTTAATATGATCTGTTCTGCTTGTGGGAATAGTTTAATATCATAGGACTACATTCAGTGTTTAGTAAGATTTTTAATGATGTTGATACTATGTGTCTCATTTTTCTGTTGAACCATTAAGAACATACTGTGGAATGCTATTTTATGTGTATAAATCAGTGTCACTTATATGAAATGAACAG